AGGGCCATTTCACGAGTGAGTTGTTTTGGGCTAGACTCAACAAGCGTCCTCAGAGCATCAATATCAATTCCAACACGTTGGCCCCTGCTATCACAGTTTCCAAGGCTAAAGTCATCTGAACGAAATTTGCTGAACCATCGTTGACACTTACGAACGTTCAAAGCTTTTCCATGAACTTCTTTGTGACTATAGAGGCGTTGTTTCCTTTCTTGTATTCAAACAGTATTACATGTCGAATGTGTGTCATCACTATAAGGGATTAGAGGTATAGTAAACTTTATATATTTACACATTATGCTACACTAACATGACGTTTAGGCGGTTCGTTTAGCTATTATACGTGATGTACGATTTTGTGTGTGTGTGTGTGGGGGGGGGGGGTAATGAAAGTATTTTTCATTCTTCCGTTTACCACTTTACTTAATAACAAAGTTAACTAGTGATTAATGATACTGTTGTTTTAGTTAATAAAATATCTTTCTAACACTATTTTGAGATTTCGCCGAAGATGAAATAAGTGTATTTCGAAACGTTCGAATCTTGTAAATAAAATATTTTGTGTTTTGCCAACGTTCTTCATTATTAAATTTCTGAAGTTACTCCAAACTTTTCCAAATCTTTAAATATATGTATATTTAAAATGTTTTAGATAACATTAATTCTATAGTTTAGTACTGAATTTCCCGTTCAGGGTATGAAAGTCTTGGTTCAGAAAAACGTTAACAGTGTGGAATCTGACGATTAAGTTTACGTGTACAGGAGCTAATAAACAATGAAAATGAAAAACAAAAGGAGAAGGAGAAAAATATTAAAATACCTACGTATTTTTCATATTACAAGCACAGCTTTATAAAGATTGAAGTTTTAATTTCAGCTGTAAAAAAAGAAATAAAAATAAGGGGTAAAACATAATCAGCAAATATCTCGAAAAGACGTATGCGATAAAAATTGTCTACATAAGATCATAACACAACAAAACCTTCAACAGGAGAAGTCACACAACATTAAAAACGAAAACGTGTTGAATTCTCAATGAAAATCTACGCAAATACCATTATCATCTTGTGTTAGCGCAGTTCCAGAATAAGTGTAAATATAGAAGAAACAAATATGATATTTGTTTTGGAATTTTCCCGCAAAACTACATATGAGCTGTCTACGCACTGGCTTTTCTAATGGGCCTGGCGTGATTAGGGCGCTCGACTCGCAATCTGAGGGTCGCGATCTCGACTCCCCGTCCCGCGAAATATGCTCGCCTTTTCATCCATGAAGGCGTTATAATGTTACGGTCAATCCCACTATTCGTTGGTAAAAGATTAGCCCAAAAGTTGGCGGTGGGTGGTGATGATTAGCTGCCTTCCCTCTAGTCTTTCACTGCTAGATTAGAAACGGCTAGCGCAGGTAGCTCTCGTGTAGCTTTGCGCGAAATTCAAACCAAACCGTTTCTAATCTTGAACTGATGGACCAGAGAGAACGCATATTGGCAACAGCACCCACCGCCAACTTTTCTCACCTGATTAGTGGGTCATTCATAGCGCGCTCAAGACCCCAAAATACGGAACGTGTTTACGTGTTTTTACAGCAATGGGACGCTAACCAAGAATCCTCGGATTTACAGTCCAGACACACTAACCACTAGGCTACACCCACTCCAAAGAAACTAAAATATCTGTACACTGGAATTATTTTCGGTCACTTCCTACCTAAGTTTGTGTTAAAATAACTTGAGAGCTTTTGTTTTTAATGTTTCGATCTTAAATTAAGCAAATGAAAATTTATACTGAGCAAATGTAATCGATTGTTTGGGTTTCTGTCTCTAATGAAAATTATCAAAATTTAGATATAAAAAGTAAATAGATTTAAATATCTGTTTTGATCGAATATTGAGTAAAACGTTTTTATCTAGAAGACTGGTTTCATCTTTAACAATATTAAGTTTGTTTTTGTTTGTAATTAATCTCAAAGCTACGCAATGGGTTATCTGTGCTCTGCCCACCGCGGGTATCGAAACCCAGTTTCTAGCGTTGTAAGTCCACAGACATGCCGCTGTGCAACTGGGGAGCATCAATATTAAGTAACCAGCTTAATAAGTATGCTTCAGATTTAGATCCAATGTTTGAATTTTATTTTTTAAATGTATACTGATGATAAAAGATATATAGAACAGGAAATAAGGTTTAACATTTCACAATATGCACATATTTTATTTCTCCGCTTATTTCCAAGCTACAAAAACGTGGAAGCTTCTGAATACATCTTTGTTCATTTCAAAATCAAAATATCAGAAAGACGACACAAAAAGTTTTACGTTGTTAAAGTGCCCGGAATCAATAAAAGAAATTAATTTGCTCTGAATTACAGTGGAAGGCCTTCTATCGTATCCAGTACAGCTATACCCTTACATTTTTTAGTTATTTTGTTTTTATGGTTTTAATAAAATACTTTGAAATTATTTTTGTTTGTTTCAAATGCAAAGCTGAATAATGAGCCCTCTTCCATGTGCCCCTCAATTTTACTGGGGGGTTTGCACTTTAAATTGAGCATGTTTCAATTTTAAACATTTTATTGTGTATGAAAGATATGTCGTCTGTATTTTATTTTTATTTTCACAGCATGCTTATATAATATTAGCTACTAAGAAGATATTATTTTGGGTTAAACTGTAAATGTAAGGGAAAAAAATGAACATAGTATTATGGAGTGATCAAGTACATTTATGTCCAGGACCGAGCGCTACCTAGTGGTTATTATGTTGGACTGTGAATCTGGGTTCCGTAGTTCGCAACATTTTGCTGCTAAAAAATAAAAACAGTGCACAGCAATTTGAGGCTGTGGGAGTGTTAACAGTGTGGCGGTCTGGGAAGAGCAGCTCAACTGTTGGTGGTATTGACTAACCATTTTCCCTCTTCTCTGTCATTTTAAAATTAGGGATGACTAGTAGAGCTTTGCGCGTTTGTTTTTGTCGAATTTCGCTAGCCATCCCTAATTTTGAAGTGATAGACTAGAAGGAAGACAGCTGGTTAGCACCTCTTGCCACCAACTCTTGGGATACTCTTTACCAATGAATAGTGGGGTTGAGCATTACACTATAACGCTCCCATGGCTGGAAAGGCGAGTATTTTCAACGACGGGTTTCGATCCCGCGACTCGTAGATTTTGAGCCTATCTTTGAGCGATATTCGACAAACTTCTAGACCTGTAGATTTAGGAATGTCATCGAAAAGAAATGTGTTTTCCCTCAGGTTTACTCGAAAAATATTTTAGATTGCTCTAATTCACAATTAAATAATTGTTTAAAGAACTTTATTAAAATTGCATCAACTGAACTGAGTATTCTTAAATTAGCTGAATATAAAAAAACTCGCTAATTAAATCAATGAATAAAACTGACATAAATCTCAATGCTGCCATCTAGGTTTGGAGGGCTTTTATTTGTAATGTTTCGATCTTAAATTGAGCAAATGAAAAGTCATAGAAAATCGTATAATTTAGACAAAAAAGAACATTAAATAAACATGATAAATCCACCAGTTAAATAAAACAATACAAGAACTAATATGACATCAGTTATTTAACATTTTTAATGTTTGAAGACCAACAAATAAACCTCAAACCCATTAAGTTACACGTAACAACAGAAATAATCCTTTCCAAGAAATTTTCACAAGAATATTATTGATACAAAACATTTTTCATCGTGAAATATTAAATCTTCATATATGTCCTAATCTTCAAGCCGAGAAATAATTATTTACACAATAATAAATAACAATACAGCAACCTTATCTAGTTATTCTAGTTCACAGGAAGCATTTCCTGATATAATACTCGCAATTTAATCATTCCCTGTTCAAATAACGTTTAATTGCTTTTAGATTAATTCCAACCAATAGCTAGAAAATTGTAACTATGCATAAAAAACAGAGTATGATTATTTCCATATATAAAATAATTGTGTTGAAATACGCCAATTTACTAGATTTTAGAGTAACGTTTACTATATTTTTACAGTTATTGCGGGTAAAAAAATTATAATTTTTTCACAAACTTATAGGTAATTTTGACAAAAATTTGCCTTGCGTTTAGGCATGTGACGGGCGTGGCCTAGTGGTTAGCCTGCCTACTGCAGATTGAAAGGTCCAAAGTTCGTAGTACGATTACTGAGGTCTTTCCCTCTGGTCAAAGTTAAACATTTAGGACGGTTATACCTGAACTCTAGAGATATCGTACCTGGCCTTTCAGCCCATGCGTCTCATAACGTCCAATTCAAGTCCCAGATTTCAGATGTGAAGTGCCACTGAGCAGGCCCAGCAATCTCAGTTGTGGGGTTTCCTGAGTGTGACAATCAATATTGCTATTTGTTTAAGTGTTGCCGTACAATAGGTGCTGCTAACTGGTCGCTCCTTCTCTGATTAGACTATACCTGAACCCTAGAGATATCTGACCTAAACAACATGGTGGAAAAAATGTTTTCTTTCAATTTCTTACATAAATAGATCTATATTGCACATAAAATGTTTTAGTAAAATATATTTTGATAAGTTATAAATGGGTACGTTACCTAGATGTAATATTGTTCAATTGAGAAACCAACATAAATAATTCCATAGTTTATTTAGACTGTTATCTGGAAATTAGAGCATTCAACTACAGAATTGAAGTATATGTATTAAGCAACAAAGATTTGTTACCTGCACGTTACAACGTGCAAAAAAGGGTTAAATACACTGGACCTTAATGTTTTAGTCTTCAACTATGCTGCGTTTTGCAGAATTAGAGATATCGATCATCTTCCTAATCTCGATAAAAACGTTAAAGCTTTACTTTATGTAATAATGGTATAATGTCGCTCCCGTATCTGTCTGTAAACAGTGAAAAACTAGGCAACAATTGTGTAAAAAAGTCAAGAAAGAGGCATAAGGTCATGTGAGAAATGACTAAAACTGAAAGTGATTGTATATCTGTACTTCTTGGGTGGTCCCTAAAGCGCTTGCATGTTGGTGTAGTAAACATCAAGGTTGAAAGAGGGTTACCTCGAAGCAAGAAAACATCGCCGAGCTTGCTTGATTCGCCTCATTGGTTGTCTCGAGTTCTCATTGTTGACCTTGCAATTTTGCATTGTTTAAAACTAGAATGACTTTCTACAGCTACCAGCTGAACACCACTACCCATGTGTTTGTTAGATACTTTTCTTTTGTAGCACTGCACTAACTTGAAATATTAGTTTCACAACTACTAAGGGCCCCTATATTTGAACTACCCTATGACTCAAGTTTATGCTCATCTGGAACACGTGTTAAACAATTCCAAAGTATTACAGATAAAGTTTAAGTTTACATATTGTGTGAATGAACACAATACCACTATTTCACGTCGCCAGTGTTTCACCTAGCTCCAAAATCTTTCCTGTGATTTGTGTGGGTGGGTATTACGTTGTTTTTGTCCACATACGGATCTACTCCATGGTTGTCAGGCCGACCATTTCCGTCACTCTCGTATTCTGTGAGTGAATGGACAGAACTAGCAGATGTGAGACGATTAACTTGGCGGTAGTCTCTTCGGGTTTTTTTCTTTTTTGGGGGAGAAGCCGAGAGATGACTCCCCAAGTAAGAATGGTGACCAGAGAGCTGGGAAAGAGATTGTTGAGATTTGCGAATCTCAGGGCGACCAAGAGAATGGCCATTTCCGTACTTGTTGGAGAATTGAGAGTATGAATGATGAGACTGGCCATCAGCAGTAGGCCTAACTTTAGGATAAACATTTGGCATATGAGAAAATTGAGACATGTGAGATCTTGAGTCGTCCATTACAAAATTGTGGTTGTACGATCCGTTTATATGGACAGTGGGATCAACGCTATATATTCGAGCTCTTGGGATACTACGACCACTATACATCGACACCGTCTCCCACTCATGATCTGATTTAACAGCTGGTATGATGGCAGGTGGTGGAGGAGGTAGCACCGGTTTAGCTTTCTTACGCCTACAGAAACAACAAGCGAACACTATTACTGCCACCAAAATGACACCACTAACAGCTGCAGCAGCTGCTATCACAATTTTATCCAATTCGGCTGCTCTGTATGGATTGTTCTTTATCTCTCGACACTGACTACTAGGAATTAAGTCTTCGCTTAAGTTAGAAACGCTCTCTATTGTTGTAACGCAGATTACTATACACGCGTCTTCCAGAAGGTCTGAAACCACATATCGTTTCTTTCCATATTCTAACAAGGGACTGTACTGGAACTCTTTCTCTCCGAAATATCTATGAACAACACGAACTCTAGAAGAGCTAGAAGGTTTAGGTTTCCATTCTATAACGGCTGAAGATCCCTTTCTGTACGCATCCAAAATGTCTATGTCACCTTGTGCGAGATCTGGTGATGACGAAGTCAATGTCTTGGTAATCCCAACTGCTGTAGTAAAGGTAGAAGGTGTAGTAGAAGTTTTCTCAAACGATAGAGAAACGATTTCAGCAATTCTGCCGTTTTTTGCTGTAGAAGAACGATCTGCATCTTGGAGGGATACAGAGAAACCCGGTAGTTTTTTTGAGCCCTTGTTACTGTTTTGACCAACAGGTGAAGTGAATGTCGGGGCTTCAGATGGAATTGTATTAGTTCCTGTGGGCAGTACAATAGTAGTAATTAGTGTTTCACTGTCACAGACAAACTCATTTGGATTTATCTGTGTGAATTTCCGACGCTTGAGGGAGTCTGGCTCTCCACAAAATTGAGGATTCCTTTCTCGACTTGTCACTTGAAGGTCATACTTTTGAATCCACTGTGCAACCCATCGAATTCGACAGTCACACTTCAGATAAAGTCCTGAATTAAAAACAACAACAAAAATATAGCGTTACCATATTTCCAGAAAACGAAATTGTAGATCAGAGTAAATTAAAACCAATATTAATTAATAAAATATCTTACGATATGTTCCATATAATATTATTTAATTTACGTGACAAAAACAACAATAATTATAATTCAATATATATATATATAAACATTTTTTTATTAATACTTTCATCTCAAAAATTAGTTCTTTAACCACACCATGTTTAACTATTTCGAGCAAATATTTTCTTGTATTTTTAAAATCATCTCATTATTTCATTTATATTAAGTTCTATCACTGCTTCCCGAAATTCAGAATACAGTTAACAGCTTATAAGAAGAAAAGAATAGGACTTTATGAATAGAAACAGTATTTTTAATCAGAAACACAAAACAGAAGTTTTATCAGGAGAAATTTAAAAACGAAATTTCTGAGTTGACCAGACCAAGTACGGGACACACACATCCGGCATTTTTTCTTCAACGCTCTTACAAGTTTTACGGAATATTCACTGTCGTGTGAGGCATCCGGTGGTATTCGTCAACCCCAAAATTGAAAGGAATTGGAGGAAGTACAATGATGTTTTGTAGATGGAGGATTTTTTTTTTTTTAGTCTAAACGTTGCCTGATGTCATGGTGTTATTGTAATATAAAGCATATAGAGATTCTCATGAAGCCATTAATCAACGGGACTTGTGAGCAGATTTTATTCCAAGATTGCACATAACTCGAAAAAGAATCAGATTCAAAGCTTACTTCCAAGTATAAGGAGCAAGATGCTCAATGTGCTACCAGTGCAACAGACGAGTATGGGATCATGATGGGATATTGGTTGTTGAGAAAGTAAGCCGAATAGAGGTTTGTTTGTTTTGAGAGCAAAGCCATATTGGGCTATTTGTTGTGCACACCGGGTGGGATCGAACCCATTATTTTAGCGTTGCAACTCCGTAGATCTACCGCTGTAACACAAGAGGACCCGAAAAGAGGCCACAGAAGAAGTTCCATTGGTGCTACTAAAATTTCCAAACGGCCGAAGAGAAGCAAGCACATATATACACCTCGTATGTTTACAGAATTGTCTGAAGACGAGGACAGTGATGACGAAAACGGTGAGAGTCGTTAATTTGGGGAAAGAGAAAACCACTACAAACTAAATTTATAGAAAAAGCCACAACAAAGACTTCTCATATGAAACCATACGAATCTGTATATTTCATTCCCATTTTCCCGGATCTCGTGGACTCTACTTTGATACAAGAAATTATACAATTGGTCTGGATGACTCCTTGTAAATTTGTAATAAAGAAAACAGAATGTTTTATTAAAATAAATATAATTTTTGATTAAGAGAAAGAGAACTTCCGACCAGGAGAAACTACTTCTTTCATCATGGGAAAAACTGTTTTTGATAATAAAAAAATTAAGTTTCACAACTAACCGAAGAAACTACCGACAATCTTATTCCAAATGTTTGTTTGTTTTTTAATTTCGCGCAAAGCTACACGAGAACTATCTGCGCTAGCCGTCCTTAATTTTACAGCGAAAGACTAGAGGGAAGGCAGCTAGTCATCACCACCCACCGCCAACTCTTGGTCTACTCTTTTACCAACGAATAGTGGGATTGACCGTCACATTATAACGCCCCCACAGCTGAACGGGCGAGCATGTTTGGTGGGACGGGGATTCGAACCCGCTACCCTCAGATTGCGAGTCAAGCGCCCTAATCACCTGGGTATGCCGGGCCTCTTATTTATAAAATAATTTAAATTGCAGTAAATAAGTGACAAGAAGAGTCAGATTGTTTCTTCTAAATATTTAAATAGTTTTCTATCTCAACGATATTTTAAATGAGCTCATTAATTTTAATGGAGTAGGACACGTAGTGTCAAATCAAATATTTTCAATTGGGACCATAAAATTGCATCATATCATATTTTACTTTAACGTGGTTATACGTCGTATTGAAAATGAAAAAAATTTTTTATAAAATAATTTGTAGATTATTTTTCCACTGTTGTGTGCAACGTTTACCTCGATGAGAATTATGCAGGAGGATTATATAGATTTTGCAGTGTTGGCCACACTGATGAAGGGCGGATCCAGGATTTTCTCATATTGAGTGTTCTTCGGCAGTGCTGGTTTACAATATCAGGTAATAGGATGATAAAAAATTTCCAAGTTGGCAAGCGGCCTGAACATGACGGTTTAAGAATAATCGTAAAAGTTGTTTTCTCAGTGTTCGTTATTTATAAGTTGAATTCCAGTAAATAAGCTCTAAAACTTAGCGATCAACCACACAAAAGAGAATATTTAAAACATAGTTGATTTTTTTTACCTCCAATACTCAATCCTCTTAGAGTAGAATTAAGATGTCTAAACGCCGCCAGGGGAATTGTCTCAAGTGGATTACCGTCTAAAGCAAGTAAAGTGAGGTAAGGAATGTACTTAAAGGCATCCACAGGCAACTCTTGAATTTTGTTAAATCCCAGGTCAAGTACCTGCAGAAAATATGCAACAAAGTTGTGTACAGTATGAAAACTATTGCGGTTATTTAAATCCTTACGTAAAAAAGGAGTATGAAAAAAGCAGATTTTTATTTAAAATTTAAAGTACAATATCTTATATCTTAGAGTTTATCTAGAAAAACTTAGAATCTCACTAAATTTTAGGTTGGTCAGAACAGATTATATTAAGTTTATCAAAACCATTGGTCAAATCACCTTATCCTACAAGATATGAATTTGTTTTAAAGGATATATATATATATATATATATATATACATGCATTCTTTCTATTAGTATACATTAACAAAGTTAACTACTGACCCTGAGTTCAGTGAGGATAGATAGAAGATCGGAAGGAAATTCTTCAATCAGGTTACTCAGCAAAGACAATGAACTCAAGGAAACATTTACGCCGTGGAAAGCTGCGCTCTCCACCTTGCTAACTCTGTTTCTTTCCAGATTTATGGCTGTCAAACTGAACATTTTTTCGAAGAATCCAGACTCCAAACGAGAAATTTTGTTTTGCCCTAAATCAAGGAAAGCCAACGCCTCAAGGTTTTTTATTGCGGTCGGTAGTACTTCTAAACCATTATCACGAAGATTCAAGTTTTTCAGGGTTCCCTCGAGACCGCGAAAGGCTTCTTTCGAGACGTTCAACTCATTGTCGGTCAACTTTAAGGTGACCAGTTGAAGATTCTGGAAAGCACCATCAGGGACGAAAGAGATTCTATTGTTGGAGAGATCTAGTTGTTTCAAAGAAGTCAGTCTTCCTATCTGGTCCACGGGCACTTGGATTAAACGATTTCCCTCGAGATTCAGACTAGTCAAACTTCGCTCCAGTCCTTCGAATGCTTTGTTTGATATATTTGTAATCTTTGAATAGGCTAAGTGAAGACTTTGTATGTCAAGATTACGAAACGTGCCATCAGATAAAGAGGGTACTGTGGCGTTGTTAACGTAGAGTAGGTCTATGGGGATGTTCTGCACTGTTTGTTGCAAGGCTGCCATTAAACGAGTGAAGTTCACTGGACTACATTGCACAGAAAGCCTTTGTACACTGTTATAGGCGCAGATACAATCGGCGTGAAGGTCCACTAACTCACGTGACCACGGGCATTGTGCACAAACAATGTGAAGAACAACACTTAACACTAGTCCAAGACAAAGGAGCTTCATGGTTAACCCTTCTTTCTCGTAGGTACTGACCAATGACACCTGAAATTATAATAACTGCAGTTAATTATGTTTAAGAAAACTAGTGCTATATCAGTACATACGTATGTGATTCCACTTAACAGCGTATTGATAGGCATTGTCGAACGTCGTGATTAGAACCGTATTTATAGTCATTGTTGAACGTGGTGATTAGAACCGTATTTGTAGTCATTGTTGAACATGGTGATTAGAACCGTATTTGTAGCCGTTGTTGAATGTGATGTCAGAACCGTATTTGTAAAGGACAGATATTTTGGATAAAGTTTCAAGAAGGAATACTCTAATTTCGCTATTATATCTATGTGCATTCAGTCTAATATTTCTTCATTTTCTGCTTATAATCACATAATAAGGGTCAAGGATTAACATCACATGCGTTGGTTTTCTTAAAAAGTCCTGAGTAACACACTGAGAGACTGGGATTGTGTGTAACATGTGCATTTTATCTTTGATGAAATTTTAAGTTAGACATTTAAATGTCACGAATAGAGATAAATGTGAAATTGAAAATTTGTTCAGCCTGACATGAGTTGTTGATTAGGGTAATCAAATCAAAATCTGCGGGTCACCGGATCGAATCCCGTCATCAAACATGCTCACCCTTTTTAGCCGTGGGGGGCGTTATAATGTTACGGCTAATCCTATTAATCATTGATAAAGAGTATTCCAAAAGTTAGAAGTTGGCGGTGTTGACTGGGGTTCGTGAAATATGGAGCCTTATATTCAAGAACTTGGTGGAATATCATCAGAAGTTGGTGGTGTTGATTGGGGGTCCTGAAATATGGAGCCTTATATTCAAGAACTTTGTGGAATATCATCAGAAGTTGGTGGTGTTGACTGGGGGTCCATGATATTCCACAAAGTTCTTGAATATAAGGCTCCATATTTCAGGACCCCCAGTCAACACCACCAACTTCTGATGATATTCCACCAAGTTCTTGAATATAAGGCTCCATATTTCAATCTATATCTACCTTACGAAGCATTACCAGTTAAAAAGTCTTAAAGTTTTGCAAGTATATGCTGTAGTCTTGTTTACCAGCCTGAGTTTTGAAACAAGTTATTGCGAGAAGAAACTCTTCATATTAGCACTGGGTGGAAATCGGCGAATGGATAGGAAATTGCAACAAGCGTAACCTGACACAACGAAACTTTCAACAGATTTTTCAATTGTATGTTTTAAGCGACAGTCCTTAATAAAACCATTGAAAAAAAAATGCACGAGGTTTTGAAATTTAGGAGTTTCATTTTTAAACATTAATTATCTATTTGATTTCTTTCTTTTTCAATATTTCGAAATTTTAAACACCATGTTTTAAAATATAATTAGAGTAAAAGGTTAAGTCGTGTTTTCTTCCATTTTCTTGTAAAGGTGAAACACATAAAACTGTGCGTTTCCTTGTTCGCTCCAATCATTATTTATGATTTTTTTTACCATTATCGTTTTCCTTGGAATGAAACAATGTAGTAAAATATTTACAATAGTCAATAGGACTGGGAGTGGCCTATTCGTTAACGTGATAGCAATATGAATCCAAGGGTTCATGGCCTGTTACTACAGAAACCTGCTCTGTACTTTAAGGCTGTGGATGCGTTATAAACGTGCCGGTTATTGTTGTTGTTAGTTATTAAGCACAAAGCTACACAAAGGGCTATCTGCTCTCTGCCCACCACGGCTATCAAAACCCGGTTTTTAGCCGTATAAGACAGCAGAAATATCGCTGTGCCACTGGGGAGAGGGGGGGGGGGCAAACGTGAAGGGCAAATCCCGCTATTTTGTCAGTTGTCTATTAGTTCAAATTTAGGGATGACTATGCCCAGATATTTCCTATGTAGTTTTGCGCGCAAATTCTAAACAGACAACAAATAATCAAGACTTACTTAGTTCCATTAACTCTATAACAGTAGACAATGCCAATAATAAAAATAAAGACCAATCTATCAATATTTATATTATCTATCAGTGAAGTAGCTTCACATTATACTTTAAATTAAAATAATAACCATATGACATACACTTGCAAATAACTTTATATTAACATCAATAAGAATTTGCTGTAGTACGTATATGTACTACATATTTTACATTATATTAGTTAAAAAGTAAAATTTGTAAATCATTTTGTTTTTCATAGCTAACCTATCCGACGCAGTGAGGCGCTCAACTTTCTCTCAGTGGCAAGTGGAGTTAGGTGAAGGCCAAAACCTACTGATCTGATCCTCTTACAGGAATAACAGTGTCTATTTAATTAGCACATGGAGTTATATTGTCGACGAACCACATAATAGGTGTGAGTGAACTCGCTCGTGGTTGGTGCTGCCTCTTGGCTAACTGATCTCGCAAGAACCAATAGCTGTTTTCTTATACTAGAAGCCCCCAATGGCACAGCGTTAAGTCTGCGGACTTTTAACGCTAGAAACCGAGTTTCGATACAGAACAGATAGCCCATTGTGCATCCTTATGCCTAACTACAAACAAACAAACTTATGTTAAAAACGTGAGAGTTTATTAGAATATCTAAGGCTTGGAAGAGGAGATTGTATGTAGAAATTTTGTGTTTAGAATATGTGAGTAGATCTTACGTAGTTTTGTTTTTTCATGTTCCGTGAACTGTATTCTGTAAGTTGGTTTCTACACGTTTTCCATTACTATATTTTCACGTTCATTAGCTGCGTCATAGCGGAGTATAGAATAGCTCCGAGATTTTTTCAAGTACAAACTTTTAGCTCACAGCTCAGTCACCTCTTGACCGATTTGAGATCTAATTATAGTTTTGAGCTCAGAAGGTCAAACTATTTCAATTGATATATTTACCCACGCCCAAAGTCTCATGAATTAATTTACTCTAGTCCTGTCTAAAATAGTTTCAATTTGAGGGTAGGCTAGTAGAGGTCCTGATGAGTAATAAAATTGAATCGGGTATACGCGCGCCCCACCCTAGTGTTGCTGGCGCACAAAAATATAGCTAATAAAAAGGAAAAAGATGTTTCATAGATTAATTTACTCTAATACTGACTAAAAGAGTTTCAAGGGCCGCTGCTATTGAGTATTCCCTCCTGTTTTAGAGGCTTAACGAGTTTTAATTGTTTTCATTTGAGCAGAGTTACAAGTTTGGCATAAAAGAACTTAGTTTCATTTGCTTGTAACGTTAACTGACTTTTAGTGAAGGAACTGAAGTGAATAGATTTTGCAATATTTTATTCTAACTTTAACTTTACGAAGTGAATAGCGTGTTTTGAACGTTGTGAATTAATGTGTCTGCTTTAACTTGCATTGGGCGTAATGCATTCTGTATAGTTTTATTTTTTACTTAGCATTTATCGTAATTTAGAATTTTACTCTTACTCTTAGTTAAGGACTTAATTAACCTACAGGGGGAACATATTGAACTGATTAGAGCTCATTCACTCGTATCAGCCCCCTGTCCCCCTAGTGGGAGAGCGGTAAGTCTACGGACTTACAACACTAAAATCCGACGTTCGATTCCTGTAGGGAACGCAGCAGGTAGCCCCAATGTCGCTCTCCTCTCGAACAAACAAAACAAGTACGAGTCCCACTCATTGATCCCTTTTCCCAGTGTATCATTATCTTGTTTTGTAAATTGTAAGAGTGTTTGCTGTTCGTTTGACCTTGTGTCTTGTCTCCTTCTTCGCGGTTAGGGCGCTCGACTCACAATCTGAGGGTCGCTGGTTCGAATCCCCGTCCCACCAAAAACATGCTCGCCCTTTCAGCCGTTATAATGATACGGTCAATCCCACTATTCGTTGGCAAAAGAGTAGCCCAAGAATTGGCGGTGGGTGGTGATGACTAGTTGCCTTCCCTCTAGTCTTACACTACTAAATTAGGGACGGCTAGCGCAGATAGCCCTCGTGTAGCTTTGCGCGAAATTCTAAAAACCTAAACCTAAAAACTAAACCTTCTTCGTGACTCAGCTGTTGTAATTCGAAAAGAAACGCATCTCAAACCTGGGAATCTCCTGATCTACTGGATATTCGAGAGACACCAAATTGCGCTGAAACCAAAGTTGACACACCGATAACAGCTCACATGTTGTTGATCATGGGTGGGAAAAAGACTCAAAAATATTATAACAGTATATCGATTGAATGGCTTGAAACAAGTTGAAGTAAAAGCAGCTGTTAATATTTGTTTCTAATTGGTCTTCATTGCTTTAACGCATGCTCCACAATTACTTCATTTGTATTTGAAATGAATATCGTAATATACGACCTTTATCACTTAATAGTAGAATGGTAGTTGTGTAATCTGAAATAAAGATATCTTACAATTTAACTTTAAAAATTAAATTACTGTGCTTTGTCGTAAATCAAACTTTATAAAACGTATCCCTAAAATAATGGACAGATGCTAGAGTGTAATAATAATAATATATCTAATTAATCAGTAGCTTTTAAAATTTAATAACAATATCCGTTCAAAGCAAGCAGTGTACTTAGACCGAAAATAAAAAAAAATCAAGCTGGTACTCAGTATAGTTAATTAAATACGAGAGCGGTAATAAAGTTTACTGGTAACGTATCAGTTCGCTGTACAATGAGGTTATATAAGTTTAGCCACATTAGATGCAGCAGAAGTAACCATTAAGTTATACACTTTCACCGTAGTCATTTTCTTTTCAACTGTCGTTTTCTCAAATTAGTGGAAATATAAAATCCAGTCATCCATGACAGCCAAAGCTATTATCTGTATACTGCTTGGAAGGTTGGTTAGAAAATCCGCGTTTATAGTAGATTTATTCGCCATACACAAAGGGATTTGCGCTGGTAATGCTTTAATGAGTTACATTTTTATTGTTGTTTCATGAAAATTCAGTCAGAGTGATGAAAATAAGCCAGTAAAACATAATGTTTTCTGATGCTTATCTTACAGCCACCTTCCAATGGGGACCAAGCCCCCTCTCCGAATCCCACTGTGTCGTACCTAGACAATTTTATGATAGATGATCATTTCTATTTCTATGTCGATAGAGACCCGTTTG